CTTGATGTAAAATAACAAACTAAAAGTGAAATAAAAAATTATAAAACTATATGGACATATAAAAATTTTTTTTTTTTAAATGACAAAAAATACACAAAACAATTAGTGAAATAGAAAATCTGGCATCTTTTTATCAGGAGAAAAATCTGAGAAGTTAGAAACTTCAACAGAAGTCTACACTGAATATCGAAGAAATAATGATTATTTTATTTCTTATTATATCTCATAACAAAATTTGCTTGTCTTATCTATAAAGAGCACATGTTGTGTGCAAATATAAGAAGCTACATGAGAAACAGGGAGAAAGACAGAGTACATTTCAAGAGTCTAATTATTCCCTCTCACAGAAGAGCACATGTATTTATTTACCTGTCAAAGCATAATCTCTCAGATAGAGGCGGACACTCTTCTGTTCCCCTTTTAAAGAATTAATTGCAAATTATTCACACAATAGTGGAATGTTTGTGTCCGGATAAATGATGAGAGTATTAGCATAACTACAGGCTCTAGAAGAGAGTGTGTCTGATGCCACGGGCCACACGGATGAGAGATGATGCCCAAGGGCCGACTAGGACAGCAGAGAGACACACAGAGGCACTATGGACCTGCTTTAGGGCATGCGCTGGGAAAACTGGTCTGTCACCATCTTCAAACTTCACATCATTAGCTAGTGACTATATAATCAATGCCTAATAAAATGCATTAAGTCGATTAATCTAACATCTGATTTGAGATCCGCTCGTTCGACAAGAACACTTTTTTAGTTCAGATGAGAGACAAGTTTGACCGGTAAAGCGTGAACAGTTTAAGGACTTATAATTTTCTATTTTCCCTTGACAGCAGCAGTGAGAAGCCAGGCATAACCTCAACACTATTTATATTTAAACACTTCAGGGCACATTTAGGAATTCTTTCTAAATCTGCATATTGTATGAACCACTGACTCTCATGTGCTGGATTTTACCTCCCTAGTGTGCTTAATATCAGACAGATTAACCTGATTATTAGCCTGTGGGACACTTCAGGATGAGCAAAATAAAGCCATAAAGCAGAGCATGACCTGAGCTACACTATATTAGGTGTTTCTTCATTTTTATTTTTATTTAAGAGTTATTTTAAGACTTTTTTCTGCCTTTGTGTCACAAAATAAGCACATGCATAAATATATTATATTATATGATATTTATTATATTATATTATCCTCGCTACTTTGATTTTGGTTATTAAAGAGATTAAAAAAAAAGATAGCTAGAAGGAGGGACCGAGAGACGGAAGATCGTCATCCTGCTGTTGTTTCATCTGTGAAGAATTTCTCATTTCGTTTCCTAATTTATATTTTCAGCGTATTGCGTTTTACGACTGGCCTCTAAAAGGCATATTTCTGCGAAATCAGGTTTATGATCTAAAACGTGGGCTGAACAGCAGTAAAAGTTAAATATTGAACTTTCATTTCTCGGCGTGATTTTTGATGCTTTTCATGGGAGGCAGTAACTTGAAATGGCCTGTGAATGTACTTAGACAACACGTGCTGAACACAGACACTCCTCGTGTCAAAATGATATACTTCAGACTGATTTTATCGATCAGAAATAATAATAATAATAATAATAAATATTATGGTATATAATATTAATATCTTGTTGTTATTATTATCATTATCAGTGTTGTTGTTATTTTCCATTTTTACATACTTTAAAAACATTTACCTTAATTGTTTATTTATTTATGTTTTAAGTTTCATTGCGTTGTTACATTATAAATTTCATTTAACAATGAATGAATGAATGAATGCATTTTTGTCACACTAATATGTTCAGTATATATGCCTATATATAGCTCTGCTGTCTGCGTGCACATTTCTCTGGGAAGCAGATAATTACATATGCATTGTGTGTGCGTGTGCGTGTTTCCATTTACTTAATATGCCTTTTGTTAATAGACAACATATATCTAACAGCTAACTGATTCACCTTTTAATTCTGGGCCTAAATGGCAAGATCAATGGAAAACTGTTGTAATGATCTAATTAATTATGTCGAAATTAAAAGCGAGCGCAGAATCAATCTCTTGCGTGAAGCCTCCATCTGTCCCCTCACAACACAAGCTCGGGGCCCAAATGCCTTTACTTTACACTTTCCTTTTGAGTTCAGGGTTTCAGTGTGTCTTTCTACGCCGATCGTTTTAGGGTTTAGTTAGTCAAAAGGTTGTAATTTCACTTTAAGTTTAAAAGTTCAAAAATTCAGCCGCGTTAATGTGCCCATAACTGTCACTAAAATATTTTATAAAATAATAAAATTAATTTTAAAAAATATATATAATTACGAAAAATCTAATCTAATAAGAATACTATTTTATAAATAAATATTCATGAACATTCCAACACGTTTGACTTCCGTGTGACGTTCACATGCACGCACATATTCACAATAGTTCACCGTGACAGAGATAATCGAATTAAACTACTTAAAGCAGCTGTAAAATAGACGAACTCTTAACCATTCCATAAGATGCATAACCATAGCTGATAGCTTAACAGAGTCGCTCGGAGTCAGACTCACTTCTGCTGATGCTCGCTAATGAAGCGCGCGCTGCTCTGATCGATCAGTGACGTTACCATGAGAACGGGAGGCTGAGAGAACGAGGAAAGATCTTCACCTCTGGCTAAATGAGCTTCCTCAATGCTCAGCAGAACAGAGGAGAGCCGGAACGAACGGAGAGATCCGTCTTCGGGATGTGTGTGTGTGTGTGTGTGTGTGTGTGGTTCCCGTCTGTGTTTGGAGAGAAGATGGATTACTCACTGTCAGTGAAGCAAGGCCCTAATGAAATTAAGTCCCAAAATGTTTTTTAAAGATTTTACATTTTACTTCGCATTGCTTGCAGACTTTTGTTTTTCAGTTGCACGTCCTCGGGTGGGATTTGTACCCACAGTGTTAATATTACTGTTACTATAAATAGCTATGCAAGAGTGACATTAAACTGTTAAATATATATTTTTATTTAATATATATTTTAATTAGTTTTATGGTTTAATGTATTTATAGTAGATGCATTAATGGTTATGTGCGATTGAGTTTATTGCTGTTTGAATGCTTTTAATAAATGTGGCCTATCTGAAAGCCTGACGGACTCAAACACACAACGCCGAGTCCTGCTATGATTTACAGTGTCTGCTCAAATTCAGTGTGAGATTTCTCCAAGGGTGACAAAAACACTAACACTTAATTTTAGAAGTCTACAAAAAAAAGAGCAAAAAACGCAGAGAGCACAAGGGCAGGGGGGAAAGGCTGGGAGGGGGTCTCACAGAGAGCGAGAGAGAGAAAAACCCCTAGCTTTGGGGAAGGTGTGCAACGGAGGGTGAAATTAGAGCCCGCAGTGCTACATATTGTACCAGAAGCTCCTCCAAAAACACCAGGAGAAAGAAAAATCATCCTCTAACCTAACTAGGAGGCAGACTAGCCGACTTGCCCCCTGCGTCCCTCAGAGATCCGTCCAAAATATTTCCACTTAATGCCGCTTTCTGCAGTCTGTATAGTGGCAGCGAGTATTTCATTCTTTGTTTATAAAATATCAGCATGAAATAACCAAACATAAAATACATTCTAAAAAACATTGTTAAATAATGCACGAGGTAATATTGCGTGCATTAATATTTTAAATAAAATGATCATTTTCCATAAATTCCACTTAAACCCTTCCGAATCTTGAAATCACATTTTGTAGTTAAATATTTTTAATGATTACATTTTTAAATTGATTTATTTTATTTAATTTATTAATTATTTAATTTGGAATGACTCCCATCAAATCTGCAATTCAGTATTCGTTTATTATAGGTGCTTTCTCATAAAGCAAAGGGGGTTTATTGCAGATCTCTGAGGGAAGTCGCACGGAAATTCCCTCTTGTAAATTACAGGCACACCACCAAACACTGAACACGTACTTTTTTTTTTTTTTTTTTTTTTTTGTCCAAGTATGTCTGAAAGAGGCCAACCCCGAAGTATCGAACTTAACTTTAAAGAATATTCTGATATTTATAGCCTATGATAAAACAGCTGCATTTGCATTTCTTATAGGAATAATATAGCCTATAATATTTACAAATATATAATATTTACTTTTACCTAACACCTAAAAAACCTGAATTGAGACTGTAAATTAAGTACTAGAGAATTAGAAGTAATACAGTAACAATACAGTCCTGCCTTGCAATGAAGAGAATACAGTACAACAATTCCAAAGCTGTAATATATATATATATTAAACCATATATTTTAACCATTATGTATACTACCATATATTACTTTTTCTTTTTTTTTTCTTTTTTAGCTTCCGGAGGATTTGGAGAAGATATAGCGCCACCTACAGTCAGCCCCAAACCCTGAACACGGTCTTTTTTTTTTTTTTTTTTTTGTCCAAGTGTGTCTGAAAGAGGCCAACCCCGAAGTATCGAACTTAACTTTAAAGAATATTCTGATATTTATAGCCTATGATAAAACAGCTGCATTTGTATTTCTTATAGGAATAATATAGCCTATAATATTTACACATATATAATATTTACTTTTACCTAACACCTAAAAAACCTGAATTGAGACTGTAAATTAAGTACTAGAGAATTAGAAGTAATACAGTAACAATACAGTCCTGCCTTGCAATGAAGAGAATACAAGTTACTGTGAGCTGTTGACTGAAGGTGAAGGTTAATTTAATACAAATGCTTATTTTACGCATCAAATTACCTGTATGCTCGTTTGTTATTCGTTACGGAATTGATATGATTCATTAGAGACACGGAAGAGTGACAGAATTCCTCATAACTCGTAAACTATTTTATCACAAAGAAACGCAAATTATTTTCTCTCATCCTCGCTCAATTTCCACTAAACTCTCATTCACTCAGAGGCGCCGAGTTTCTCCCTCCCCTTTTGGAGTGACAGGCGGATGGAGCTTCATCTGAGCGAATCACAAAGTGCTGGAATCTGCTGCCTTTGTCTGATACACTCATCCATAGTGGCGAAAGGGGTCCGCGTAAAGGAGGGGGCTGGAGCTTTTACAAACCAACACGAGCGACCCAAGTCCTTCAGTCCCGGGCCGTGCGCGCGTGCGAACGCATCGTGTTGTTATTGAGGGAAAGCTGGGCACAGGAAACCCGCAGTCTCCAATGGTTCTGCTATCTGTCATCCATGCGCAGAACCCAAACCCAGCAGCCCCGCACCTGCTAACCGAGACCACCGGGATATAAGAGATATTAACACGCGAATGGATGGGACAAACGCTGGAAAACGAGTTCTGGGGAAAGCATGCGTGCTGAAAACATTTAAGCATTTATTGCGTTGAGAGCACTTTGTTCTGACCTCGAACGCACGGTCATGTCTGACACCTGACAAATCCTGCGTCCATCTGCAACTTTCCGAAGTTCCCCTCTCCTCGGCTGGACTCACCTTACATCTTCGTTTCTTTCAGTTGTTCTGTGTGTGAGAAAGACGAGACGGCGACTTCAGTTGATTACCTGCCTTTTCTCTGTTATCCGATGGATATTCACTGTAAGGTAGACCCCTTCTCCGCCATGCACCGTGAGTTACACTGGAGTTTATCTGGAGGATGTCTTTCACGTTTGAGCCTATTAAGATCCTCACTGGAACAGGAAATTATTAGGCTTCCGGATAAAAAAAGATTAAAAATTACACTGTTCTTATATTGCATTTAGGGGAAATAAGATAATAAATCAATCAAAATAAAACAGAAACATTAAAGAACTCGGTTAATAATCGAGATAAATGTGCCTGCGTGTGGTTGGTGGTGGAAATTAAAACATGCGTTGTTTGCATTTTTATTCACAAAAAAGAACGCGAATGCATAGAAATAAAAAATACCAAAATATTGATAATATTGCGAAAATTCCACTTCGATTTAAAGCAGTAAATATTCGTGATTTTTCAAAGCAAAAACTGTCAATTTGAAAATATAACATGAGATTGCTAAATGGTTCTGCATCAAGCTTTGGGCTTTTAATTGAATTAAAATGGAATGTTTTTAGAAAAACAATCAATTGGGAATAACAACATGTAACGTGATCAAACACAACTGTTTAATAATTTATATCTAGGGAATGAAAACAATAAATGCTCGTGTAATTTAATCGCTCACCTACGAGTAACAAACCCCAGCATTGTTTCAACGACCAGGACAGGAGTTTAATGTGCATCACTAGAAAACACATAGAGGAAAATAAATGTTACATTTTCGACCCTGTAGAGAATTTGTGAAACGCTTAAAAAATGCTACTGACAGTCATTATAGCTACGCATCTACAATGGATTTAGAGATAGAATATATACAACACATTTTTATATTTAGAAATAGATTTTTTTGTATAATAAATATAAATGCATTTGCATATAATAGAAAATAAAATGGAGTAATAATAATAATAACATTGTAAATGAACTAATATAATAAAATATAATATCGTATATGTTTGTGCATGTTTTTGCTGTGTGTATGTGTATATCTATAAACCCAAATAATGCAGATCGGTTATGCAGAATTATTTTATCATTGCATATATTCGTTTTCGTCTGTTTATTCCGTGACTTGATGCGAGTAGAGTCAGGGATTCATTAGCACACAGTGCGGTTGATTGCAGTTAACCTTTCTTGCGTTTTCTAACTCGCGCGTGGCCGCACACAACGCGCCTTGTGTTAATTGGGCGAATGTGACGCACGTCACTGACGGCCTGTATGTAATGTTATGTTGTGGGTGTTTGTTGCTGTTGTCTCCTGTATAGGGCACGGGGGAGTGAACCAGCTGGGCGGGATGTTCGTGAACGGAAGGCCTTTACCTGACGTTGTGCGCCAGAGAATCGTGGAGCTCGCGCATCAAGGGGTCCGACCCTGTGACATCTCCAGACAGCTGAGGGTCAGTCACGGCTGCGTCAGCAAGATCCTGGGCAGGTGAGACCCTAACATGAGATTTACTCAGTGCAAGACGTCGCATTAAAGAGCAACGCAGCAGTTGATGTAAAGAGTATTTCTACTTTAAAAGTAGAAATATTAACGTAGTCTCACAACACACTGGATGGATACTAATTTGAATAGAATTAGCAACGTACTGCAATAGTTTTAGTTTAAGCACAAGACGAACTATCCAACATACTGTCGAAGAAAATAAAATGAAAGCATTTGCTCTTTTTAACAGCGCACACTCTAAAAAATGCTGGGTTGTTTCAACCCAACTTTGGGTCAAATATGGACTCACCCAACTTTTGGGTTAAAAATTGAATGTAAAAATGTAACCCAACGTTTGGGTTCGTCCATATTTGACCCAATGTTGGGTTGAAACAACCCAGCATTTTTTAGAGTGCAGAATTGAGAATCATGCACGTTTGCGTTTCCCCTGATTGTTACCCAATTTGAAATCAACTAAACCAAATTAATCACTTGAGCTAAAGATCCATGATTTTAATTATAAACGGGTTTCCATCTCAGACTATGAAATTCCAAAAGTGCTTTAAATGCCTTTTATTTGAGATAAAAGGGCCAATTACATTATTTCGGGCTGGGGCTATGCGTGCTTAAAAAATGTATTATTTGACCAATGATTTGAATGTTTTAAAATTATGAATTATTAAAATAAAATGAATATGGTAGTTCAGGCTATTTCAACAAGGTCAAAAACTAGAAGTAGAAATGCTAATGAGCTTGTTGCCTGTCCATTTTATTAAATATAATAAATAATTTATTTCATAATACATTGATTTATTAATCCAAAAATGTTTCTAACATAAATTGATTTCAGCTTAGCTTATTGCAGTTTGGTCATCCCAGTATAGAATTCCGTTTCAAATAGATTTCTCTCTCTCTCTCTCTCTCTCTCTCTCTCTCTCTCTTCATCTTAGATTAATAAGTGGGTAACTAAAGCAGATGGGCTGTTTAATGTCCTGCTGCGCAAAATTTTAAATTAGTATTCTAATCATATGATAATTTCCTACTAGTGCTGCTATGGGCCGTGTTAAGTAGCTTAGATAAAACATTTTCATAGCTTTGTTAGCACGCATCTGTTGTTTATTGTCATTAGGTTTGGTCAGGTTAGGAAAATCAGATTTGCACGTGTTTCTGCAGATATTATGAGACTGGCAGCATAAAGCCTGGAGTCATCGGAGGATCCAAACCTAAAGTGGCCACGCCGAAGGTGGTGGATAAAATAGCGGACTATAAGCGCCAGAATCCCACCATGTTCGCCTGGGAGATCCGGGACAGGCTGCTGGCGGATGGCATCTGTGATAACGACACCGTCCCCAGCGTCTCCTCCATAAACAGGTGAGGAAACCCAGTCATTTATCAATAACTGATGTGCCAATAATTCAGTCTTCTTTTTGTGTCAGTCATTTTCGAGAGCGTTTCTGGCTTTAACAATCTTAGCCTCTGTGTAAATCTGCAATAAAGTTATTTGACAATATTCTGTTTGTGTTTTGTCCCGATAACTGATCTTACCTGAAAGTGGTCGAGAAGCGGACGGTTGCTATGGTTACCAGCTCAGATGAAAGCCCACCTTGACTAAATTCTAATCGTGGCTTTTAAAACTTTAAATTGAATTAAACCTCAAATATCTGAAACGTACCTATATTTAAATGCAAAACCAATTCATTTGACGCCCCTCGACTTACTAAAAAATTACAAATCATTAATAAAAAATAAAAACACTGTATAAACTTCAATCGAACCGTCTGAACACCATTCGTTAAAGGGGGCAAAAATGGAAATGATTTCCAATACATTTATTTAAAATCGCTTGTTTTGAATTAAAAATGTTCTGCAGTTCATTATAATGCATTTTGGTGAATATTAGGCTGTCCATTGTTGCAGTAAATAGCTCTGTTCTGTGGCTTTGCCGGTGGTCTTGTGGATGAAACTCAATCCCCTGCTTCAAACTACCCCAACAATGACGGACTGAAGCTCTAAAATCTCATCTGAGCGAGTGAAAACCGATCAATGAAGGGCGATCAGGCCTGGTAAAAGAGACACAGAGCTGCTCGATTAGAGTTAGCTATTTATCTGCTCCTGTTTGCTAAAATATTAAAAAGAAGACTGGAGTTTTCATATTTCATCATTTTCAGTTTCCAAAATTAGAGACTAACAATATTGCTTATTTGTGTAGAAATGAATAGTCTAGAAAATACATTCTTAATGTGGAAATACTGCTGTGAAATAATATAATGAAAGTGTGATTTTGTTTTGTAATAATTCACAAGGTTTTAATTTTAACATTTTTAATTTTGTTCCAACTGGAATGATGATCGAAAATATACCACCTAGCCTACAAATATGGGAAATCTGCAGTATGCATAATCCATGATCCAATATTTACATCCTTAAAATGGTGGTTTAGGGTGGTGTGTTAGACTTGTGTGGAAAATCAAACGGGTAAAAAGAAGCAGTGAGGCGCTGAACTTTGGTTAAGATTCACTCTTCCATAAAACCAGACTCTGCATTACATTTTAATGAGTCGATGGTGAAGAATAGAGCACCTCACACAACAGAAGAGAAGGCTAGAAAAAAATTCATTTCATGCCTCATGGTCACCTAAAAAGGGCCTTTGAACGTCTTTTGACATGAACTTGTGAGATAAATGCAAAACGTACGTTAATGTTATTACCCAAGCCCTTAAACGTCTCTAAAATCTAATTGAATTCAGTCTGGCTATTTTGAAACAGGAAACAGGTCTTTGTTTATGAGGGGAATTAAAATATGAATGCAGGCAAAAGTGACTCCTTTTTAAAGACTGTATTAGCAATAGCATATAATTTATTCCACCTTTACGTCTGTTTATACTTAACAGTATGTTGATATACTTACGCATGAAGCAATGAATAAGGATTATTGAATAAGGCCAAAACCAAGCTGAATCTGTTCATATAAGATATATGGGAATTCTGATAAAAGTCAGCTTGCAACTTGCAAAGAAGAGTTTGCGGATGCATTCAGTTTTGGGTGTACAATAAGAGAATCAGTTGCACCTGCAACATCTTGTGCTTTATTCATTAAAGCAAAATGTTGCATTAAAGAAAAAAGCTCTAGTTGTGTGTGCAAACTGAGACCGGGCCTGTTTACAACATGAGGTTGATGTTCAGACTCGCAACTCTTTTCTTTAACATACATTATTAAGTGTTACAGAGTTTCTGTTGTACTAAAGTGTCTCCACAGCCAACAAGTGGCAGCACCGAAACCACCAGACTTATAAAAACCTCCTCAACGGCGCTCAATATTATTGATTCACATGTAAAGCAATTTTAATATTTCTTCCGAGGATTTTCAGACACAACCCAGACATTAATTCACTCTTCCAAATGACTTATTCGATAACAGAAACATAGATTGTGGATAAAGTCTGTGGATTTATTCTCCCCAGGCCATGCGAGGGGGTCAAACTATGGTTTTAAAGAGAGAAATGAAATATAATATTGATATGTTGTCACTGCACGTTCTTTCCATTCTCTGTTTCAATGCCCCGAGGATACATCCCTAAAGCTGATGTTTATTTCCGCAGATATCAATATTAGCAGCACACTCATTTTAATGGAAATAAATTTGCACTTTGAATAGTATCCGCGGTCTATTCTAAATATTTTTACAATCAATAATCTTCATGAGGCATGAAATGAAAAATGCGTCACATACAAAAAAAGCATGGTTTTTGCATGCAGCACAAACTCTTCGCTTCCAGTGCATTTGTTTGCATGTGTCTGCTGAAACAGAAGCAATGCTGCTGGTGATGAATAGATCTAAAGTTTACAAATGAGCGTGACAGAGGGCCTTTTTTCCAAAGTGCTGTTCAGATTAACAGATTCACAATATTACTTTGTTACTGTATTTTTGATCAAATAAATGCAGCCTTGTTGAGCATAAAAGTCTTCTTTCAAAAATATGTAAAAACCTTACAGACTCTGACCTTTTAAAAGATTTTGTATATTAAGTCACAATATAAATTATTATTGATATTTCATATTAATTGTATTAATAATAACTAACATTAATAATACATTATATAAATGATTCAAAATATACAGTTTTGCTTGTGGATATCCACATAACATTACATATCTCAGACAAAACTTTACATATCTTTCAAAGAGTTTATGCCTTTTGGCAAATCCAGTGACTAGTTTTACCTCAAAAGTTGCAATACAGTACAACGAGTGAGAGAGAACTAAGAGAAATTATAAATGCACTTACATGTTTTCCTGTCTGCTGACTTTGACGTCACAGCTCACCGTCTTTGCTGTAGAAGGGTTTTTTGAACAGTGCACATTCATATGGTGTCATCAGAAGCCAGAGTTGTTATGATGTCATTTTCTTGTGGCTCTAGAGAGATTGTGAATGGCATAAATGATGCGTGGCAATAGGTGATTAAAGGGGGCATATGATGTTGCTAAAAAGAACATTGTTTTGTGTATTTGGTGTTTATGTGGTTTAAAGTTCAAAAAACATTATTTTCCACATACTGTACATTATTGTTTCTCCTCTATGCCCCGCCTTTCTGAAACACGTCAATTTTTACAAAGCTCATCGTTCTGAAAAGCGAGGTGTGCTCTGATTGGCCAGCTATCCAGTGCGTTGTGATTGGCCGAATACCTCAAGCGTGTGACGGAAATGTTACGACCCTCACCATACTGTGATGCCATGTCCGGTTTCGCTTTCACAATGAAACACACAGGGCTTGTGGCAACCACATGTGACGACCCCGGGCTGGACTCTGCTTCGTCCACGGTGAAAGCCGATCCGGCGATCCACAGCACTAAGTTGATGTATTTCCTCAGCGACCAGCACGGATCAGCTCTAGGCATGATGAAGCGGATATCGTCCTCTTTTGGAAGACCAAACAAAGTAGTTTCGCTTCCACAACGAAACACACAGCGTCTTCATGACAGGGCGGCGGCGGCAGCAACAATACTACAGCGAGAATAAAAGTTACGCCTTCTTTCTTTGCGTGAACATTTGGGCGGTGTTATGCAAATCTTCCCACATAGTGACGTAGACATGTGGGGGCATGTTAGAACGAGCCGTTTTAGGTAGGCATGGTTGACTCTTAACTTTTATAAAGAATATCTCTTTGGATTTGAGACTTTAGTCTTTGCAACTTTACAGATCTTCTTTATGCACCAAGAGCTTGTAACACTCCAAAGAGAAAGGAAAAATTGAAATCGCATCATATGACCCCTTTAACAGCAAAGCAAAGATAGCAGCATGCATGTCATATGCCAACCATGCAACTTCCATTTACATATATAGTTCCACATTCAGCACCACGTGAACCGCTGCGCACAGAAAGAGTCATTCTTGTGATTAGAGCGTTGCGCTAGTAGTCGTTTGTGTTGCATTGGGTTCATCGGTTTTCTTGCTGTCAGACGCTGCAAGGACGCAGCGGTGACATCAGCGGTGGCAGGAATGATGGGAGACTTCAGATCTGCTTGTGTCTGTGTGTGCGTCTTTCAGATGATTAACTGTTTTGAGGGTTGTTCTCGGGCCCAAATGATCCTCTTGATGCGTGGCCATTTTCTTGATTTAAGCGTTGGGCATGAAGAGGGGGAGGAGAGAGAGAGGAGAGGAGGAGGGCAGGAGTATGTTATGTATAACTTCACAAACGGTCATGTGATGAGTGCACACACACACACACACACACACACACACACACAGCAAAGACTGCAGACACCTGGAATCCAGAATAGGTGTACTTTATCTTTGCCAGACGAATCTGCAGCCACACACACACACACACACACACACACACACACACACACATGTTTACATCTAAATGGGGACATTCCATAGGCGTAATGGTTTTTATACTGTACAAACTGTATTTTCTATCACCCTACACCTAAACCTACCCCTTACAGGAAACTTTCAGCATTTTTACAATTAAAAAGAAAAACTTTGTTTACTTTATTTTTATACCAGTTTTACAAATGAGGACGTCCCCAAAGGGAGGTTTTTGGAGATTTTGTCAGGTTTAGCTTACTTCTGGGTACAAATTTGTCCCCAAAATATGGTTAAGTAGGTACACACACACACACACACACACACACAGCACAGACTGCAGACACCTGGAATCCAGAATCCAGCAAAATCTAGTAAATATAGAATGTAAAGTCCCATAATGCTGCATGTTTAAAGTCAACATGCATTGTTGACTAAAACCAAATTTGCCACTTTATAAGTAAAATGCACTATAAACAAATGAGTGAAGGACATTTTGAGTGAATAATTACAAAGAAACAGCCAGTATCAGATTGCAATAAAATCACAAAACATATTTTGATATTTATAATACATTTTCCTACATATTACATTATGGAAGTAAAATGTACAGTACATTTACTTGTACAGTAAATAAAATTGCTAGTAGATTTCATTAATAATTACAAAGAAATTAATCTTGAATTAAGTAACTCATTGAATTAAACATGGAATTTTGAAATAAAAAATCTCAAATAGTATTGTCTAGTAAACTCCAAAAATGTTTTATTTGTAACTTACTTTCATAATGTCATGAATTTTCCCCCCTAGCTTTCACATTATGGAAGTAAAATGTTCAGTAAAATATACAGTAATGTTCCCTCAGAAATTGCTAGTACATTGCTAGTATACTGCAAATAATAACAAAGAAACGGGAAGTAACACTGAATTAAACGTGAAATTCTGAAGTAGAAAAACTGAAATAGTAAAACATACGCCAATACTCTTTGTTTTTATTTACAACTTTGAAAAATTACAAAGAAATGCCACATAACTCCTTGAATTAAATGTGAAATTTGAAAGTAGAGAGTCTGAAAACATACTCTATGAATCCTTGTTTTATTTACAGTGCATTTTACTATCATAATGTGATGAATTTATCATAGTTTTCACATTATGGAACTAACATGTACTGTACATTTTTAGTATTTATTGTCAAACCATTTTCATTCAGAAATTGCTCATGCATTTCACAAAGATTACAAAGAAACAGCAAGTAACATACTGAATTAAATGTGAAAGTTTGAAGTAGAAAGGCTGAAATAGTAAACGTACTCCAGATAATCTTTTTCTAAATGAAAAATCATTTTCTTCAGTGCATTTTACTTCAATAATGTGATGTATTTTCCCAAATTAATCAGGAAAACAGATGCATGAACGTGCATTAAGAAAGTCAATTTTGATTTCACTCGTTGCTTTGGACAGTGTCTTAAACCACCACACAAACAAGATGCACTGAAAACCACAGCGAGTTTTTAAACGCAGCGCTGTCAGATGCAATATAACAGATCTTAGTGGTATAAGGAGTGTTTTTTGGGTCCCGATTGTGGCGGCATGCCAGGAGAGGCCAAGAGCTCTTACAGTAGGTTTGGAGTCAGCAGCGGCCTCTGACGCAGGGCCCATTACCAGAGACCAGAAAGATAATGTGCTGTGACACGCGTTATGTACACGGCGGAGCTGAGAGAGCAGGCCGCGGGGACACAGGTGTCACACCAGCCATTAATCTGACAGCGCTACTGTATTACTGCAAATTAAAAGTAGCACGATACAGAGAGAGAGAGAGAGAGGCAGCTCTGCTATCCGCATGGACCCTGGCTGTCTGAGCCGCGATGCTGCAAGTGACATTTAAGAGAATTTGCAATTCCGCCGAGAAAAGCTATTACGGCACAAATTAACATCTAACATCCACACATCCCAGCACCCCCCTTTACAGCTGTCTCATAAGAGCAGACCATTAAAAAGATGAGAGCAGTTTTACGCCGGCCAACCCAAGACACCACGGAGGAGAGAGTGAGCTGGTGCTGCACAGCTTTATAGCTCAGATTGTGAATGTGTGTTTTTATTTTCATTACCATTAAACTGATTGTCATATGCTGGGAAATGCATTTAATCTTTAGTTGTAAAATCCCACTTCGGAATGGTTTTCGTCACAACATTATGGCTAGGGTGTTTATTAAAGGATAAAAGTAAGAACCAAAAAAACACAATATGGGAGGTTCTTGAAATGCAAGCTTATAATTTATCTGCATATTGTTATTTTTTTTTAGATATATCTACAGTTTATGCTAAATGTGAAGTAACAAAACAACAATAGTCCCATTACCCATTTTAATCGGCAAATCTGCCTACTGCATGTTGATTACAAAAGAGACTTACAATTCACATTCTATCCATGCTAAATAGTATGCGAGATTGGAATTAATATGATTTAATTATAAAAATAAGCATGACCAAAAGATTCCCAGATGGTATAATAATTCCAGTGCATTTTCAACAGTGCACCCATACTGTACATGCTTTTAAACAAATTTTGCCAACAACAAATTTTATAAATTTTTTTTTATTATTACAGTTACTGTTACTACTATAAACTCATAAAATATTAATATAGGCTTTCCTTCAGCTTTTAAAAATGAAATTACCTCAGCGTTATTGTAGTAACTAGTATTAAAAACACTGATATTTTAATTTCAACTATGATTGTCATGGTAAATTTGATCATGGAACATGCACTACAGTTTTCCACAATTGAATTCACAATATTATTGTTTAAATCCACTTTTTAAGTGTATATTAGTGTTTTGTTTTTTTTCTACATAGGATATTTTTCCCTCAGAGATCAGGTTTTTTATATTTATCTTTACTGAATATGTTTACAACTAGAAAAGCGCAAATGTACATTTTTTATTTATTTATTTTTTCCATTATAACAGGATGGCTGCAATTCACATGTACTATCCATCCTAAATAGTATGCAAGATTACAATTAACATGCCTCAGTTATAGTATATTGTAAACAGCATGTCACACATGCATGGATGCTTAACTTTTGCATTGGTACATGCTTTTTTTAGGCTAATTTTGCCAGCAGCAAACCACTAGAAGTGGACAAGTTAGTTCCTTTACAGGTTTTTCAACTAAAAGTAAGGACGGAACATTAAAATAAATTAAGGTAATGAGTTTCTCTAGATGCTTAGATGCAAGTACAAATGGTACATGAAAGTGTCTTTATACCTCTGTACAGTTTTACTACACACTCAAAATTTGGGAAGTATGTACTTTAAGTCTGTAGTATTCAAGTCGGTGCCCCGTCCTAATTTACTTTTATGCAATAAACAGTTTAGGTTCTGTATTGGTTTGCCACTTGAAAAGTCATATAAAATCTGGGTCCTGAAGTGGACCCATAAGAGAAGCTGTGGAGCAGTTTCTCTCTCTCTTTCCCATGGGGTCAGGCCCTGTGGGTGTGAATCCTGCGGTGTTATGCAGTTGCTTATCTGCTCTGAGAGAGCATGCTCCCTCGTTACCTCAGTCTTAATACTGACTCACGTCAAAAGGAATCCGCTCCACTCAGTCGCAGATCAATACCACAGCAGCAGGGCAGCACACGTCGCAACTGTGCACCAGCACCTCAAAACCGGTGCCATTGAGGCTCCAGGTGAAAGCCATTACATAAGCACTAATGGGCAGTGTGGGGGAAAGTTACTTTTAAAAGTAATGCATTACAATATTGCATTTCTCCCTAAAAAAAAGTATCTAATGTCAATAAATGGGAAAACAGAGTAACTGGCATTACTTGTTTGAAAACGTAATTTGCAAATTAAAAAGTAATACATTACTTTATTAGTTACTTGAAAAAAAAGTAATCTGATTACATAACACTGGTAATGAGAGAAAACACGGCCTCATTCTATGACGATAGATACCCGTCGACTGACTTGATCCACTGTGCACTTTAGTTTGGTAATCTAATAGAAACAGGGCAAAAGTGTGTGAGAGAGAGTAAAATGCAAATGTTAATAAAAAAAAAATGTATGTCATTTTGCATGGTGTCGCAAACCTGTATGAGACACAAAAGCATTGACATAATGGAGACTGAGCTCCATTAAAGTATCATAAAAGTAGTTGGACACTTAATAAAAAGTCTTCTGAAGTCATACGGAATCTCATTTGCACTTCTGCTTATGCAAACTTGAATATACATGGACAAAAATTAGATTTGAGAGCTGCTGTAGAATGCAAGATTTCCAGCCAGTCATTTTTGTGTCTTATTCTTTTCACAAAGCATAATATAACTTCAAAAGGCTTCACTCTCAGATTAAAAGGTACAAAAGCTTTGTAGGGAGAGTATCCTTTCAAAAGGTACACATGTGTACCTTATTTACCCCTAAAAGGTGCATTTTAGTACATTAAATGTACATATTTGTAACTAAATGGTACATATTAGTGCCTTTTTAAAAGGGTAACTCCCCAATGACAGCTTTTGTACCTTTATTTTCCTCGGAGCATTGCAATATAATAAACAATATCAATATCTACATCTAATATTCCTTGTGATATTGTTTAGATAAATTTTTTTTTTTGCTGTAATATAACGATGTTGGTTCCTGGTCACAGTGGGAGTCACATGTGGATTCAGTAGTCAATTTTCTCTAAGCAGCTGAAGCGTTACGTTCATCGCTCCTGCCAGAGCAGTAATGGGCGCACATGTGCGTGTTGCTCATCCAGTGAGTGGGAAGATGTTGTCACTGGTGTGAATGACAAATGCAGTTGTATTGATCAGTTTTGTGGCCCAGGCTCCCTAATGGCACCTAATTAATGACTTAATTTGCCCCTGCGCCCGATACAGCAAATACCCACTCCACCTCAAGGACCCTCAGGGGAGCTGTCCAAACAGAGCGCCTGCTCGGAAGCATGCAGCTTTAACAGGGGGGGGAAACACATGGCTAAGTCAAGCATCACTATTACTATTGCTCAGAGACTTGAGGATGCAGTTTTGGCTGGTGAGCAACTGCAAACCGCATGTCAGGCTAAAAAATGCAGACATTTTTATCAACTACCTTGGAAAACACTGAGAGCAACATAGAAACAAAATGCAATACTATGGCAACTACAAAGAGCACACTAGTAACAGCATAGCAACACCCTAACAACCAACTAGCTCACCCAATAATCATATAGCAATGCATCGCCCACTAACTACCCAAGTAATCACATAGCATAGGGGTTCTAGGGGTTCTATGCTATGCTTAGAGCTTAACAAGCACCTAGAACACCCTAGAAATGGCATAACAATGCCCTAGCAACTATTTAGAGCACCCTAGCAACACCCTAACAACTGCCTAGCTCACCCAATCAATCATATAGCAATGCATTGCCATTAAATATCCCAGAAATCACACAGACACAGGCTAACAACCACCAAGAACACCATAGAAACAACATAATGTCCTAACAAGCATTTAGATCACCCTAGCAACAGCATCACAAACCCCAACTCACACAATCAATCGTATAGCAATGCATTGCCCACTAAATACCCTAGTAATCACATAGCAACAGCTTAACAACCACCTAGAATACCCTAGAATTGGCATAATACCCTAGTAACTATTCAGAACACCCTAGCAACAGCATAGCAACTCACTCAATTAGTCATAGCAATGCATTGGCCACTAAATATCCTTTAGCAATCATATAGCAACAGTTTAACAACCACCTAGAACACCCTGGAAATGGTATAACAATGCCTTAGCAACTATTTAGAACACCCTAGCAACACCCTAACAACTGCCTGGCTCACCCAATCAATCATATAGAAATGCATTGCCCATTAAATATCCCAGAAATCACACAGAAACAGGTTAACAACACCCTAAAAATCGCATAACAATATCCTAGAAACCATTCAGAACCCCCTAGCAACACCATAACAACCGCCTAGCTCACCCAAACAATCGTATAGCAGTGCACTGCCCAATAAATACTCGAGAAACAGGTTAACAACCAGCCAGAACACCCTAGTTTTGCAAGCTTCAGAAAATGTAAAAATCTACTTGTGTAGACACACACACACATACACAGAAAGAGCAGTGTCCAGTGTGTGTGTGTGTGTGTGTGAAAGAGCGCGCTGTGCAGAAAGAAAAGGTCACCGTGACAAGCGCAGTGGTAATAACCAGCTGAAATGGTGCCATCAGACAGACATGATTGATCAATTGAATTCAGCGGCAGTGAAAAATGTGCGATCAAAAAGAGTATTATAGACACGATGAGCTGGGACAGGATACTCATCAAGACTTCATTCCAGCCTGAGCCTCTATCACTCCATCTAGCCAGCCTGCTCTTTTTCTCTTTCTATCCCCTTGTTGCTCTTCTCACTGATTCTTGAGTACTGGAATAAAATGGGACATAAAACAAAACAAAACAAAAAAAAGTTCATGTAGCAAGGATTTTTTTTTTATGTTCAGTGATAATCACTCGTTTGGTTGCAACCTTCTGTTTTTCTTTGAAAAACAGACTCATTGGACTGCATTAAAATTACAGAAATGATCTAAAATGATCAAACTTTTCTTTTTTTGAAGAAATTGTAATTCTTATTTTTATCATTTTTTATATAAAGTAGATAATAGTTGACAAAAAAAAAAATATATATATATATAATAATAATTATATATATATATATATATATATATATACGCTACGATAAGATTTTGAATGTTTTTGAAAGAAGTATCTTCTGCTCACCAAGGCTGCATTTATTTGATTAAAAATACAGTAAAAACAGTAATATTGTGAAATATTATTACAATTTAAAATAACTCTTTTCCATGTGAATACAGAGTAAACTGTAATTTATTCCTGTGATACGCAGCTGAATTTTCAACATCATTACTCCAGTCTTCAGTGTCACATGATCTTCAGAAATCATTCTAATATGCTGATTTGCTGCTCAAGAAACATTTCTGATTATTATCAATATTTAAAACTGATAAGCTGCTTAATATTTTTGTGGAAGCCAAGATACATTTTTGTTTTCCAGGATTCTTTGATTAAAAGAAATAAAAAACAGCATTTATTTGATTTATTTGATAATGTGTTTACATCATTTTGCTTAATGCCTGAAGAATAGGAGTTTTTCTTTTTTTAGGTCATCTTTCTCTCTCTCTTTCTCTCTTGGGTCAATCAATAGAGGCAGAGCATGTCATACATCACAGCACCTGTGGGCCGCACAGAGAACATAATACGCTGCGAATGTAGAGTGACAGATTTGTAAGGGAGACGTGACTTTCCAGAGAAGGCAGGATGAGAAGATATTTAAAGGAGCTCTAAAGCGTTTTGTCAGGGTGAAAAGGAGAAGAGAGAGAGACACAGAGAGAGGAAGGTGTGAGGCAGTCTTTTACTCAGCACAAGGGTAATCAGGTCAGAGGAAAACCAAGAGAAAGTGCTGTTTGTGGAGCGTTGTTTAACTGGTAAAGAGATTGAACAATAACAGCAGAGGTTTTCTTCAAGTGTGTGTGTGCGTGTGTGTGTGTGTGTGTGTGTGTGTGTGTGTGTGTGTGTGTGTGTGTCAGGTTCAGAGTAAAGAGGTTTTGGAGAATCAAATCAGTGTTGCACACGCCTGGAGAAAACAAGAGAGATGAGCATGCAATGCATTGTACACATGTAAATACATAAAGCTAATATAGGCCTATAATTAGGATATGTGATATGACCAAATATTTTAGATAACATTAACATGTAACATTAAGTATTTAATTTACTCTATTATTAGACTTATGGCAAGGAAAGAGTCCTGATACAGTTATTTATTTCCTGGCAATTAAATTACAATGCTATACATGCTAAATAGCATATGTAAATGCCTATTATTAGATAATCCGTTAAATTAAATACTTCATAAATTAAAGGTAATTGATCCCATTTGATTTACTTGATGGACAAAACCCATAAATTCTGATTATTCATAACAAATGAATATAGGCTAAGTCCGATATCACTGCACAGACAGCTTTAATAATAATAATAAGTGATGCCTGAGTTTAAACAGCTGGGCCAGTGCGTGTTGTGATTGGTTAGCTGGGCCAGTGCGTGTTGTGATTGGTTAGCTGGGCTAGTGTGTGCTGTGATTGTCACACTCGGCGCCTGGTCAGGAAATGTCATGTCCCTTACCATAGTCGCCTGCCAGCTTCAGTGTAAATATTGCGTCAAAATCAAATAAATTTGAGCGTGATTTAAACCCGGATGATTGTAACCACTCTAAGTTCATCTGTCTTGGGAAAGCTAGCGTGTCTCCGACATAGTGATAACACTCGCTGCCTTCTCTAGTGCAGCTCAACCAGGTCTCGTCCCATTCGTCGATCTTTGTGTTATCACAAATCCCAGAAAATATGTGTTGTAATCCAAACGAGTCGCTCGTTATAGTTTTTGAAAAGTGATTTCTGTTAAATAAAATATCTTCTTTTGAAGTGGACTTTGAGCTTTGTAACTTTGCAGATCTTTTTTATGCTCAAACAGCAACATTACAGACTACCTAAAGTTGAAAAAGTGAAAAAGCATAATATGACCCCTTTAAATGCATTACTAGAAACGTGACATTTCTTTGGTTTTGGCAAATGAGGGACATTTTATCAACTATCTTGAGTTTAAACTACTTGAGTAAAACAGTGGAGGCCTCCTGAGGAAAACTCAAACGATCTGAAACGTGACCGTCACTCATTTGGCTCAGAAGATCCTCACTTAGGTTCTAGAATATTCTTACAGCATGTAGTTGTTGTCGAATGCTGGAGTCTAGAAGGCTGTTTTCTGTGTCTGCAGACGGTTCTGAGGGTTCTGCGCAGAGCAGTGATTCTCAGGGCAGCGTGGAGAGCCTGAGAAAACATCTGCGAGCCGATGCCTTCACACAGCAGCAGTTAGAGGCCCTGGACCGAGTGTTCGAGAGGCCGGCGTTCCCAGACGTCTTTCCCACTTCTGAACACATCAAACCGGAGCAGGTGAATGTCACCTTCTGTAGCTGGGAAATATATTGATGTTAGACCTATTTATCCTTACAAACAATACAGTGGCAGTGGCAGTTTTTTTAATGGTTATGCTCAGCAAGCAAAAATACAGTAATAACAGTAATTTTGTAAATTATAATATTACAATTTGAAATAACTGTTTTTTATGTGAATATATTTTAAAATATAATTTATTCCTGTGATTAAAGCTGAATTTTCAGCATCATTACTCCAGTCTTCTGTGTCACATGATCCTTCAGAAATCATTCTAATATGCTGATTTGGGGGCTAGGTTGTTGTCAATTATTATTGGTACGCAATTATTAATACGTTTGTTAATACGTAATAAGTTTTATTATTATCAATACTAAAAATAAATACTGCTTAATATTTTTGTGGAAACTGTGCAAAAATTTTTCAGCATTTAATTAACAAAACATAAATGTCTTTACTGTCACCTTAATTAATTTAATGCATCCTTCCTGAATAAAATATTAATTTTATAATTAAAACTATTTAAATAAATTATATATATATATATATATATATATATACACATACTGTATCTAAGTTGATAACTTTGTCTGAAAAACTACTAAAAATAGTTCAACATGATTTCTAAGCAAACATCCAATATTTATGGTGTGCTTCCAATGCTTTTTCTTTTATGTCTGTGTGTGTATAAATAAACGTGTTGTTTTTTAGTAAGTGCTGGTGTTCCAGTGATGCATTGAGGATCAAAGAGCAGAACTCTCTCCATTTATTGATTTTCTGATGGAAATAAAAATACATTCTCAGGAAAAACAACACGAGATGAGCTACCGCCCACTCAGCTGCACATGAGAAAGGATGTAACTTCCTGTACGGCTCCTTCATAGCCGTTTACAAAATCTAAATGTGGCCAAACACTTACAAAGCAACAATGTTAGCAATTAATAACACATGCACACACAAACAGCAGCATATGAAACACTTTATGTACAATTTCGTATTAAAAGTGTTGGATTTATTATAATGGATAACCTTTATTTACTTTCATTAGACTACTAAACAACAAGTGACGATTAATTTCTCTCCCCGAAAGAGCGAGTCGGAGCCATAAAGCAAAGGGAACGGCCTAATTGAGTTCATTTTAATTTGGGTGCGATCGGGAGACATTACTCCAGCGATTAATCAGGCTGACAGCACTCACCTCCAGAAGAAGGCCTAATTTGCAGCTAATTACAAAACTGATTTTCACTGCAAGATCAATACCGAAATGAATTGGAAATGACTCGCAATCACAAAGGCCGTCAAAGAGAGTATTAAAAAGGAGGGGGAAAAGACGAAGGAAACACGGAAAGCCTTTGAAGGAAAAAATGGGCAAACGGAACGCTCTAGAAAAATCAGTTTTAATTTAAAGCAATATTAATCAGACTATTTTCTCCTTTCATAGACCACTTTTCTTTTTTTGTCTCCTTCGCTATCCCTAAACCAGACCACCTTTCTATTTTTGTCTCTCTCTCTCTATATCGGGCTATTATTTAATGCCTCTGTTACCAACCTAGTGAGCTGCCTTGCTGTCTACTGCCTGCTTAGGTAGCTGCCTTCTAAGGAATCATGATTACTGCAATGGAATCAGATTATTAGGAAAAGTGACTAGAATGTTCTACATGTCTGCAGCTAAGGCTGCAACTAATAAAGAAATAGCACAATTCATGTGAAATGCATGTTTTATTTTTAGTATCACTGAGATTTTTATTTTAGTTAAAATTTTTGTAATTTTGATAGACCACTTTTCTTTTTTTGTCTCCTTCGCTATCCCTAAACCAGACCACCTTTCTATTTTTGTCTCTCTCTCTCTATATCGGGCTATTATTTAATGCCTCTGTTACCAACCTAGTGAGCTGCCTTGCTGTCTACTGCCTGCTTAGGTAGCTGCCTTCTAAGGAATCATGATGGAATCAGATTATTAGGAAAAGTGACTAGAATGTTCTACATGTCTGCAGCTAAGGCTGCAACTAATAAAGAAATAGCACAATTCATGTGAAATGCATGTTTTATTTTTAGTATCACTGAGATTTTTATTTTAGTTAAAATTTTTGTAATTTTGTTGTTTTATAATTTTTTTTTATTTATGTTTTTTAAATATGGCTATACAGTTTTATTAGTATATATTTCATTTCAATTTTAGATTCGATTTTAATTGTAATTATTTTAGATAAATTAAATGAAAATGAGAAATGTTGCTCTAATATAATTTTTTTAAATATACATTTTTATTTTATTTGTTAACAATTACTTCACATAACAAACATTGTTTTTATATCGTGTTACATTTTTAAATACATAACTTCACTAAAGTAAAATTTGTATTTTTGAATCATGTTTATAGTTTCTTTCATTTATATTGTACGACACAAGTAGCGCTCCTCATGTGAAGTACTCAATTTGAACAATTACAATTTATAACAAAATTTGTTTTTAACTTTTTTTTTGATAAATATTTTTGGTACTGAATAAATGGTTTATGTATGTGAGCTCAGTGAGATAAAAAATATATAAAGATATGAGCTCATCATTATTTATTTATTTTTATTATCATTATTATTTATTTTATTATTTATATATTTTACATTATATAATTGTATATTTTATAGATTTTCACTGAGCTTGTCACAATGCATTGGTATTGCCTGTCTTCAAATTTGGCCTAAAGAAAATATCTTACCTTTTGGAGCAGCTTTTGATTTCCAGAGTGTGCCCATGATGCCTAAAACACTTCCTACATAGGCAGCTGACTAGGTATTGGAGCAGAGCCAGTGGTTTGGTTGTGTTTAGAGGCATTAAAAAGCCGTTCTGGAGATGCTGAATGAGATAGGCTCTCCTCCCACACTTCTGCCAGCCATGTGCTCTTCCTTTTCACTCTCCCCTCCATCTGCATGAGAAAAGCCCTGTTCTGCTCCATGGCCTCCACCGAAAAAGAGCGGAACATCAGGCTGGGCCACCGCAAACAGTTGTAGCCCACAATTAGTGTTTATCTGTGATAGAGACAGACATGGCTGGGGTCAGGGGCCTCCCACACACACACACACACACTTACTCTGGACAGACATTCTCAACATGCAGACGCCGGAAGTCTCATCTCATTAAATAACAAAAGAGTTAAAAAAAAAGAAAAAAAAAATCCCCCCCATCTGCTGACACGGTCTGAGGAGCATGTCTGTAATGGAAGGGGGTTGTGAAAATCATAAATCTTATCAATGTCATTTCCGAAGCGGGGCCTTGCAACTATAAGTGATTCAGCAAAGGCTAAAACAGCACTTCAGAAATGATCTTATTTATAAAATGAGGTGAACTAATCAAAGCCTTAATTTAAATTCATAACAACAACAACAACAACAACATGTCATCATTTTTACTTTCTAGAAAAACTAGAAGAGGTTTTGCCAATGGGAAACACAACCGCCTCAAATGATGGCTTGATGTAGCGAAGTGATTTTGTTTTATAAGACAAAGAGGATGCTAACAAATATGTCAGGGTGTTGTGAAGGGTTGTAAGGATTATCATTAACAAAGACTATTAAAAACATAACTTTAGCTGGAATATATCAAATATAAATATTAGATAAAAAAAAACCTAAAAACTGATGATTGAAATAAGTTTGAGAAAAAGCACTAAAATTACTAACTGAAAATAATGATAAAAAAATACAAATACAAAATAATAATAAAAAAATGTAATAAAATGATAAAAGCACAACAAAAAAATGAAAAACTAAAAGTTAAGTGAAACTAATACTTACAATAAATAAATATTAAACTTAAATAAAACTGAACATATAATAATATGTATAAATATATATAAATAAATTTAAATGAAAATTGAAAATATAAAAATAAATGCTAATTCTAAATATTAATAGTATATAAATAATACTAAAGTAACAAGTACTGAGACCAAGTACCAAGTACTCAGACCAACCTTAAGGCTTTGATATTCTTGTCTGTAGATATGGTTCGAGTATCTCTCTCAATGTAAATATGTGGGATTTTAATATATGTTACCCTGAACCACAAAACCAGTCATAAGGGTAAATTCTGTTGAAATGATATA